TAGGACTTTAACTTTTTGCCAACCAATGGGTTTTCCGTATTAAACCACTACAAGTTAGTCACTTTTAGCAGGGGAGCAGATTTCGCAACCGAGTTTTAAACATGGAACAAAGAATGAGCAAATGTGAGTTGGTTTCTGTGTGCCCCATCCAATTTTCCTCTCAGGAACACATAGGACCTCCAGCTCGGTTTGCTCTGACTGGAGTGTACAGAGTCCAGCTTTTCCAGCTTCGCCCTGTGGACCCGCTGAAAATGAAGCCAACCGAGGGGCGTTTTGCGCCAATGAAGCCAACGAACCGGACACCGTTTGGTGACCAAACGATAGGGATCACTGGGTCCACCGGCGGCAGTTTATGTGGTTGCGGAAAAATGGTTGGCTTTGGGTTGCCATGATCGCCTTAAAAAAAAGAAGAAAAAAACGAAAAACAAGTAATGTGGACAAGCACAACTGCACTTTTGTTATCACAGCAAGGGCTATGTTCCGCAACCATGGCCACGATGGCTGTCCAAATCGGCGGTCAAAACGTGTGCTGAGATGTGATTGTGTTTGCTTTTGTGTGCGTGTGTGTGTGTGTGGGTGTGTGTGTGCTGGTGTGTTTGTTTATTTCTGTTTTTCTTTCTGTCTTTCTTTCTTTCTTTCTGTCTGTCTGTCTGTCTGTCTGCCTGTCTGTCTGTCTCTCTGTCTCTCTCTCTCTGTCTCTGCCTGCCTGCCCCGCCTTTCCCACTGCCTGCCTGCGTGTCTGTGAGTACGCGTGCGTTTGTGAGTGTGTGTGTGTGGGTTCATGCTAGAAGGGTTTTCCAAAAGCCCCAAGCCACGACCCAAAGCACGGGAGACCCGCAGGAGGTAGCAACATTTAGATGGGAACCGCAAGACAACCAGGCACGAGACAACAACTGTGACTATGACCAAACAAGGAAGGACCGGCAACCCAAAGTCTTTTGGTTGTGTTGTGTTGTGTTCGTGCGAATGCTTTGCCTGGATTCGTTGGTGTCAGAGAGTCGAAGTTGAACGCCCATGCATGCTCGGGATTCAGGCAGTGGATGAGGGGGTTTGCGCGGTTCCAATGGAGTAGCAAACCTCTGGTTGGTGAGTAGGGCGTGCCCCGTGCAAGAGGCAATCCTTCACTTTTGGGGGAAGCATCCCCTTACTTGTTAGTCAGGTTCCTACATGATCACCCGAACAGGTGGCCAGATCTTCCCAGTGGCAACGCAAGAGGAAGCTGGGTGGCTCGTATACCCAGACACCCAGGGGTGTGTGTTCATGCTTGTTGGAGTATGTTCCCTTGAACGTCAACCATAAAAGAAGAAGTGTCCGTTTTTCCCATGGCCACTGGGGGTCTGGGGTATTGACATTGATTTAAGATACAACATGCGAATGGTCTGTGGCCTGTCTTAAAGGACAACCAGCGCTACGGACTACTGCAACTATTTCCTGGAACCCCGCAAGGGATACATTTCCCAAAAGGAGATGCCTCTACAAATGGCTGTGGGTCAAAAATGGGTACCCTAATGGAACCCTGGTAAATGGAACATATGGACCAAAACCTGCTGTCCCCTGGTGGTTTAATTTTGACCCATACCCAAATGAGGGCGCTTGGGGCTCGATGTTACTCTGCAGGACCGTCTTGTGGCAACCTGCCGTTTGGGGGACGGTCCGGAGGCAGCCGCTCGAGGCTCAAACGTCGCCACCCATGCGACATTCCCAATTGTGTGGTAGGGGTTTCGGGGAGTAGCGGAAACCATGAGGCTGTGGGTCAACAATAGGTACCCAAAATGGCTTGCCCTGGTGAATTGAACCAAGGACTAAAACCTGCGGTCCATATCCTGGTGGTTTAATTTTGACCCATACCCATGTTAGAGAATTGTTTGAAGATTTGGTTTGCCCCCAGGACGTTTCACTACCAGCATTCCTGTCATATTGTTGCCCCCCCAAGCTTCCCCCCAAAAAGGTTGGACATGGGTCCAGTCCAAAACGGTTTTTGATTTTAGAGTACTCTGAAGCCAAACGGCTGTGGGTCAACACCTGTGGTACCATTTTGGGGTAGGTGCACCACCCATTTTAGTCTATTTTAGTGGGGATTGGGATGTGCACTGGGGGCACGGGATTTTGACCCATGGCCAAACCAAAATATGTATTTTCTGTGTGCTCCAGGTGTGCGCCAAGGTACTTATTTGTTTTCAGGTTTGCCCATCTGCCATGGGCGACCTTAACCACGTGGAGCTGGCGCTGGTTGGGTGGGCCGTGCTTCACCTCGCCTTGGCCCTGTCCATGTCCCTCGGATCTTTTCAATCGCTTAACTTTGGTGCATTTTGCAGCTCCTTGCAGGAGGCCGACTGAGGATCAGCCGCCAGGTGCTTGTTGGTTTTCTTTGGTGCATCTTGCCAAGGGATCTTAGGACTGAATAACTTGTTGCCAACTCATGGGTTTTCCCAGTAAACCACTAAAAGTTAGTCACTTGTAGCAGGGGAGCAGAAAGCAACCGAGTTAAGGAATAGTTTAACTTCCCCTGTTGGTGTTTAAAGGGAGTTTGTCAAGTATATGGAAGACTTGTAAAAGAGCTACCCTCTCTCCCACTAACATGGCACTTGACAGAGAGTCCCTAGAGGAGCCTGATCTTCCAGGTACCCTCCCACAGGTGCCATGTTAGTGGGAGGAAGGGTAGTTTTCATTTCGGAACCCGGTTGGCTTTAAAGGGAGTCTATCACAAGTGGAATTAGTTATATTTGTTGTTCCAGGGGGGTGAAGTAGATGGAGGATTTGAAACCTTCAGCTGTTTGGAGAGAAGTCAACCAAGCAAAAGTTAACAAAAAAAGGACAATGTGTTCCCTGACTAACTTTTGGGTTGAACCTTTCGTTTTTTGGGGACCAACATTTCACTTCTCGAGCTCCTGGACTTTGAGCTTGGCGGATCATTTTGGCAAATGTTTCCAAGGAAGTGCCTTTTCCCCGAATGCGCCCAGGAATTGAGATACTGGCCAACCCAAAGGATCAACTTCTTCACACCTGTCAGGGGTCACTATCACCTTTTGGGGGCCATAAGTGAGGTTCCTGCTGGGGTGACGCTAGGTGAAATATAGAGAGTTCACGGCTTCCTTTGCAGTGGTCCCGTACTTAACGGATTTCTAGTTGCTTGGGTTGCCCTTTGGGCAAGCAAAACCATATTTCAAAACAAAACAACTTGTTTAAGAGCTCAAGTGTTTGCAAGCAATCGGCCACATCGTACCTTCCCAAGCAATCAACTGAACAGCAGAGGTCCATGTTCCGCATCACGGGTAACGTGCCCAAGAAGGACAAACCTTTGCTGGAGGGCGAGCGCACGGAGTCGCAGCGCCCGCTGGGGGAGCTCTACTTTACCAAGTTCCACGCAGTGCCTGGAGCTTCCAAAAGGCAATTTTTGTTTGCATTTTGGGCACATCTGGGGTTTGATGCACTAGATCAAAGATATTTCAGAGTAAGTGACTTCTGCTCCCATCCACAACTAGTTCACATGTTTCGGAGTAAGTTTTATATGCTCTAGATGGGGGCCTAGACAAACGGGGCCAGAATCAAAAAGTCTTATGTTGTGTGCGTACCGACTTGGACCAAGGTGCAGCTGAACGTGGCCGAGTACAGCGGCATCGTCATGGCCCTCATGCTGTACATCGACTTCCGCGGGCGCTCGCGCGAAGCCGGCGTCTCCGCGTTCGGCGGTGCCGCCGCGCTGATAACCACGGTGAGCAAGCGCCATGGCCGGTTTTTGATGTGACCTGAGCCCCAAACGGAAAGGCTTCTCGATTAAGCCGACAACAGCTGCTGAAACTTTTGCTCATTGGGGGGAGCAAGTCAGGTACCTTCAGGTCCTTTTCGCGATCCTCTCCCCCAACGTCCACAAGTTTGACCTCAAAAAAGCGGTCATGGTCACAGTTGCTTACGTGGGCATCGCGATGCTGATCGGTGACGCGCTGACCTACTGATCGATTCGCAGTTCACTTTATGAAGAAAGTACCCTCCGGAACCCACGATGGAACCCAGAGGGACCATTTCAAAGGAAGATGGTCTTCCATGGAGCCCTTAGTCAGGTTCCGTGGCAACGTGGACAGGATGGTAAAACAAGAAGCGTGCCCTTCTTTCCCCACCTGTGGAAGTGTTGAAGCGAGAAACAAGTACGATGGCTTGGCCCACTCCCACTTTCTGAATGCCCGCTCGCCCCGATTCAAAGCTTCGACTCAAGTATGCGATGCATCTTTTGCCTCCCAGGGGAACTGTAAGCCATGCGGGTTTGTGTTTGTCTTGAGGAGGCCCTTCTTGCAAAAGAAGCCAATAAGCAGCCATCCATTTGGGGGATCAGTTGTGAAATTGCGTTTCACTAAATATGACTCTGTGTTTCTTTGGGTTGTCTTCCGAGGTTTCTTTTCAAGGTAAAACAAAAGAAGCAGCATTTTGCTCCCCATATTGACACACTCCCATATTGACCAGGTTCAAATATTATATATACGTATGCCGTTTGCTTGGTGCAACAGCTCCCGCAGTGCTCCTAGTGTGCTTTTTGCAGACGGATGTTCACCTGCCACCCATATGAAGCTTACATTGCAGTATATACCTCACTTCCTGAGTTCCCGAATTTCAAACTATTCAGGAGGACCATTTCAGTGGTAAACTAGAAGTTCGGTTGCTTTTTTGGCCCATCCACTCGATCGGAAGTGAGATGTTTACCCTGTACTTAAGTTGTATCTAACCTCCATGCCCTCCATAACCGCAACCAGGAAGTGAGATACCTTGTATAGAAGTTGCGTATACGCTCCATCCATAACGGAAGCCTGGAAAGTCCCTTGAAGGTACTTTGGTGCATTTTGCCAAGGGATGTTAGGACTTTCACTCGTTGCCAACTAATGGGTTTTCCGTATTAAACCACCAAAAGTTAGTCAGGAGCAGATTTCGCAACCGAGGGTAGATCTCGGGCTTCGACATCGACCCCCGAAGAAAGAAAAAAAAGCGAAGCGCTCGGGCGGGGCAACGGCCAGGGCCTGCAAGCCGCGCCAGCCTGGGTAGCCCAGATTCGCAGGTTGATTTCAAGATGTCCTAAGGCTCCAAAATGACCGTGGCTGTTTTTTGGCGAGGGCTCCGGTGTTTTTCGGGTTTGGCTTTGAGCGCTTTTCTTCCGTGTTGTGTTGTTGAAGTATCATATCTCCTTTCAGTGTGGGTTTCTGAGCAACGGTTGTCCCATGTTCATCGGAGCTTTTGAGCAACCCGCAGATGCCTCTGGAGCTCATTCCCCTCGTTGCAGCCTTTTCCAAATTCTAAGACAAGGTACGTTGGTTGGGGTTGAAGCGGGTCTGTGTTTTCCGAGCTTCTTGGGAAGCCACAAGGAACACCGCTTGTAGGGTCAGCCCAAGTTTGACACAGACCCAGATAGTTCCCACTACCCACAAACCACCAATTTCAGGGAAAAAAAACACGGTTACACTACCGCAAGATACAACGTACCCCGTTGCCAATTTTGCGGGTAGACCGCTCGTGGTGGACACCATCTCGGAGGGCTTATTGTTTGAAGAAGTTGCTTTGCCCCCGGGAAAGGATCGAAATACTCCATTCGTTTTGGGGGAAGACATATTTATCATTCGTCATAGCAACAGATGGATCCCATTGCAGCATGGTCTGGTTTGCTCATAGTTGTTGTTGTTTGTCTTGTTGGTGTTGGATGAAGCTGGTGATGACATGTCTCAATTTGTCGTGGGACCTGGAGCAGACGGATGCCTTCTGCATGTGCATTGATGCTCGGATGTTCGAGAGGCAACCAGACCGGTGTAAAGGTCAACCCCTCCTTCTTTTCATCCATCATTTTTGTGGATCGGTGCAAAAAGGGGTCCATTAGTTAGGAAAAATGGTCCCTGAAAGAAAGACGCGGGGGAAAGTACAGCCAGGGACTCACCTTTGACACCGAAAAGGCGACACAAATCGTACAGTTACCGGTTGGGCCCATGCTCTGCGCAGGTTGCTCTTCAGCTGCTCAGTGGTTCAGCTTTTCACCTTTCCGGGCGCTGATCGGCCCGTGAAGTCCGATTTCCGCAAAGGAAAGCAACGGGGATTGATCTGTTTATGGTATTTTTCCGGGCCGACTTTTTTGCCCGGTTCGGAATAAATATTGCACAAGGGCCAAACTTGAAGGCATGTTGCGTATTTCCCAATACAAAGACCTTCACCCCATAGATGTTCCACAATCATGTATGGAGCGGCCGAATTCACGAACCCGTTGATAGGAAATTCCGGGTTCGGGGAGATTCCTTTGGGGAACTGGGTCAAGGTATGGGACCATCTTCCAGCTTTGGACCAAAATGAGAATCTGAAAATATGGCGCTCCTAGGTTCCGGCTTGGAAGGTGGACCAAGGAAGCACTTCCTACTGTGGATGGACGTAATCCTGCACCACTTGGAAACCATGGGAAACCATGGGGGACCATGGGGGACCATTGTTTATTGGTATTTACAGGGGATTCATCATTCCAGGGTTTCTTAGGTGGTGCGAAATGGATTTCGTCCATCCACAGTATTAATCCGCGCGAAGCGATTCGCCTTTTTTCTCCTCGGAGAGGCATCTCAGACCTGGTGTCTCGGCTGTTCACCAGCGGGCATCCTCCCGTGTGCCCAAACTCAGGCAGTTCTCGGGCGCTTGAGCTTCGTGAGTCGGGGGGCCCAGCCGGCGGCTGGAGAGTTGCCGGGTATCAAGCACTTTTTGTACATGTGGGGTGTCAACATAGGGGCTGAACAACTTTTCACACATCAGTCTCTTATGAACATGACAGATATATTTTGTTGTTCAGCCGCCCGCAACCCTGATGTGTGTTTGCCCTACGTAAAACGAGTACGTGTCAAGATTGGGATTTGGAGCCCCCAAGCTGAATTTCGGCTTTCTGCTTCGCTCTGAAGACCCGCGATTGCGTAAATTTTAGCTTCCTCACCTGAGCCATATTCAGGGTAATTGGAGGGTAGGGAACAGTCCCGGCCATTCATGGGTGCGGCCGCCTTTTCATTTCTGTATATGCATTTGGGTAGGCATTTAAATCCCGGGTTTTGATTGTGACTCACCTGGGGATAACACGAGCTTACCCATCAAGACGGTCCCTTCCTTGGGCGATGTCAATGTCCAGTCTGTGAATGAAAATAATTTGCCCAAATGGGTGTGGCTCAAAATTACTAGTGCAGGGTTACGCAGGTTTTAGTCTTTGGTTCCACTTACCAAGGTGCCATTCTGGTAAATGTTGTTGAGCCACAGCCAGTGTGGATGGGACTTATCCGGCCAATAACAGGACCCTCCCTTCATACAGTTTTCCCTTTGATGAAAGGGAAAACATGTGGACAAGGAAGCCCATCGTTTTTTTCCCAGTTCGGAAAGGCGGCTTTTTTTTGGTTTGAACAGGCGAACCCTGCGGAATTGGTCACTGAGAAGTCTCCGTTTATGGTGAGATGTGTTTCACATGGTCGCCACGTCGCTGCTGATTGTACTTGTAGGTTCAAGCATGGTTTGTGTGTGTGTGTGTTTCCAAACAAGTAGGGGGAGGCCCCTTTTCGGGTTTCTATTGGAAGGAAACCAACAGGATCAGGCCCTGAGCCTGAAAAGAGCTGCCCTGCCTGGAGCTCCACATCATGCAGGACAACACATGCCGAGACTGAGAGAACAGCAAGAGTTGGTCAGCGGCTACAAAGCTCGTTGCGTTGTTGGGTGCATCCAGCCAAATTAACACTCGCGTACCCCGCTGTCAGAAGGTCCTGGAAAGAAGGCGTTGCATAGACGAACTCACTCGACGCAACGCAAACCAAGGAGGCAAGTGACTTGGAGCACATGCAATTTCTGGGATTTGATCAAGTTCTGGCCCCCAGAGGTCAAAGCAAAGTTGATCGGATGATGATCCCTTGGTTTTCCAAAGGGTATCAAACCAAATTTGAAAAGCACCCCAAGCGTCCAGGTGGCTTTGAGGCATAGCTCGGGCTCAATTCCCGAGGCCTGGTGCCCACTCGCTTCTGGGGCGCCACAAGCTCGGGCCCTGGCGGGGTGAAAGGCGGCTTGGCCTCTTTTTTTTTCCAGGGTTTCCCTTCCAAGACCCCCCAAATGGCTGGCAAACAGCCCCAAAGCAGCCATTGGAAGGTGATTCAGACCATTTGCCAGCCATTGGGGCGTCCTGGGTAGGATTTTTTGGGGGTTTCTCTGGGGTTTCAAGGGAAGGCCAGGGAAACCAGGTTTGATTGGGATTCGGTTGCTTGAAGGGAAGCCAGCCATTCTGAGTGTAGGTGTCTTTGTGGGATGGAATTTGTGTTTCAAGGAGCAAACAAAAAGAAACCTTATGTTGAGAGGCTTTCCGAGCAGGGTGTGTCTTGATACTCTGAGACGAGGAAATATGGGTGTGGCTCAAAATGGAACAGGAGAGGTTACGCAGGTTTTGGTCCATGTTTCCACATACCAGGGTTCCATTTTGGTACCGGCTTTTTGGTCCTCAGCCATATAGGTGGAAGTTTCTTCGGTGTTTCCATTGTGCGTTTGTTTGCCACATTGTAGCGAGGGCCGGACCACCGATTTGGCTCGTGAAAGGCAAAGCGGATGGTCGAATTTCCAGGGTCAGTTTCCCGTGATCCCTCATTATTTGGCTACGTCATGCTGGTTCGCGGGCGACGACGTCTTCTGCTGCTGCTGCTGCTGCTGCTGCTGCTGCTGCTGCTGCTGCTGTTCCCCTGATTGGAACCCCTAGTTCCTTTTTGATGGTAAATGGGAAGCTACCCGTAACCTCCAAACCACCCATCCAAAACACCAATTAGGGGAAAGCTGAAAGGGTAGACGACAAGTTTGTTTGTTTCCTTTTTCCCTTGAAAGAAGGAGCTCCCATTGTCCGCGCTGGCCAGCGGAAACTTGGACGAGATGATGGATTTCCGCTCTGGCAAATGTCCATTCTGCGTGTGATATCTTTCGCCGAATGCTGTGGGAGTTTGACATTAATGCCACTGGCATGGGTTCGATCACTGAGGGTGTGAGGGCTCGCACGCTTCGCACCCGTTTGGAGAAACCCAAATTAATGCCACAAAATTTGTGGGGTGGGAAACCCCAAGGAAGCCCGCCGTTTCTGGGGTTCTCAAATGTTTTTTTTTTTGTTTTCCTGAAGTTCAGTTGGTTTCAAGGGGAAACGCACAGGAAACCCGCCATTTTCGCTTGGTTTCCCAAGGGGAAACCCAAAGCAACCCCACACAATTTTCTGGGGGTGGGGAAACCGCAAGAAAACCCACCGTTTAAACAGGGTTCCCGAATTTTACGACGACCCCAACCCCCACTTCGTCCGCAGCCGCAGGCCTGGCACGGGTCTTCTTCCGCACCCAGCAGGGCACCGCGGGGAGCCAAGCACGAGCGGACAGTTGGGGGGACGTGAGGTGAGGCTCGGTGATTTTGGTTGGGGCGAGTTGAGTGAGCTTTGGGGCATTTTGCCAAGGGATGTTTGGACTGAAACACTTTTTGCCAACTCATGGGTTTTGCCCATGAAGCCACTAAAAGTTAGTCACTTTTTGCAGGGGAGCAGAAAGCAACCGAGACAGTGGATGGTTCTAGTATCTGGTTTTAGGGGAATAAGAAGAAGGCCCATATTTCCCTTTGTAACCTTAGAGCCAGCGGTCACTGGATTTTGGTTGCTGTGCAAGTGAGGTTTGGTCAAAATTCCAGACACCCAGTGGGTGCAAAGCCTTTTTGTGCTTTTTGTCGAGGGGGTCAACCTCTTTTGTGGCTTTCGGCTCGGCTATTGGTTGGCCCTGAGGCTTCTTGCACGCAAATTGAAGAACTGGAATTTCTTGCGAACGTGTTTGCGGCTGATTGCCCTTTGTTTTGCTGTGTTCCCCCAGATTTCCGCCTAACGAAATGCCGTAAACGGGATTGTGAGCAATTCCATGGTGATGGGGCTCGGCGGGGTATGTTGTTCCAAGGGAACCAACATGCGGCCAAGAAGGAGAAGGAAGAGCCACAACAGGAATGCTCAGGGCTTTGCTGTCCTTCTTTCAGATGGGTTTGAAGTGGGTGTCATCCGCAATTGTGCATTTCCCCATTTACCCCAAAGGACACGGACAGGGATGGTCAAGCATTTCTGTTGGTTTTCCCTCGAGAAGGGTTTTACTAAAACAGGCAACGGTCAATTCGCCTTAAACTAAGTTTCCCGAAAAGACCGGGTAATGAAACCCCGCATGAATAACGCCTGGCTGATTTTGACTTGGGGTGCTTGCTTGGGATTCTTCACAGGGGAACTCATGGGACGGGGTTGACTTTTCGGGGTTTGTGTGGGAAGCCAAAGGTGATGGTGAAGTCTCCATTTGGGTCAGACACCGTCAAAAACCTGGACCCGTTTCAGTGGGCAGGGGCAAGGGCAAGCATTCATGTTGACCACCGCCTGGCTATGTACACTGCATAAATGCTTTTCATCTTGCCCGGATCCTTTTTGAGGCTACCCAAGCAGGGGTATCACTACTCAAATCAGTACTATTGTGTCCATCAAACCCACCATATGTCCTTTTGTTGTTGGTTTTTAACCGGAATCCGCAATCTTAGCCACCACCTTCTCATCTTTCTACCCTTCAAGACCTTGACTGGCCTCTCGTGGTCATTTTTGCTCTTCTCGCCAGCGGCGACATCTCTGCTCTTGGCTCACACCATTTTTGGCCACGTTTTTTTTTTTTTATTATTTTTATTTTTATGTCACTCCATTGTTGCCATGTATGCCCTTGTTTCGGTGGGTTTTTCATCGAAAACACTGCGCCATTTCAGGGCCCGCTCCCCCGCCCCATAGATCGAACGACCCCGGCGGAAGGCCGGGGCCTGGGCCTTGCAGCTCACAGCGCCCGCGAGCTTCGGCTTCACCTCGCCCTGCGCCGTGCAGGACGGGCCGACGGACCGCGCCGCGGGACCGAGCCGCGTCGGTGACACGCCGAGACCTAGACGCGGCTGACCTAGGGCTCCCAGCGATCGGTGCCCTTTCTCACCCCTTTTTTGGTTGGGGTTCGAATAGTGCCCTTTCTCACCCCTTTTTTGGTTGGGAGGGTTCGAATAGTGCCCTTTCTCACCGTTTCTTTTTTGGTTGGGAGGGTTCTACTAAAATAGACTACAGAAAAAGTTGGCGCCAGCTTATTCTAACCTCTCTACTGGACGACCTAGTGACCCTCCCAAAGTTCCATGGACATTTTGGGCCGCTTTTGGGGGGTCTGGGCCATTTTACTCCCTGAGTTCATGGACTTTGGTCACTTTTCGGAAAGGGTTGGGCTAGGAGGGTTGGTTAGGGGGCAATTGGTAGGGTTAGCTGAGATACTCAAGGCTTGGCACAATCTGCTCGCTCCCTGAGTTCATGGACTTTAGTCACTTTTCGGAAAGACCAAGTTTGAGCGGGAATCACAAGTTAAGAGTTTTATTGGCCAGTCCACTCAGGAGGTATACGTTTACGGGCAGACAAGCAATTTGGCCTTGTGCCAGTCAAGGAAGTGAGAAGGCTTGGCTAGGAGTTTCATGGCTCAGTTGTCCAGAGCGAATCGACCTTTCGACGTTTTGGGTTTCCTGTGTTGGTTTAGAAGCAAAAGGTGACGCTTTTGTTTGTGGGTGCTTTGGGCAACTGAGGGGGGTTCCCCTTCCCAGTTGCGGCGCGCCACCCTGTTTCCCGTTTGGAAGTTTCGAGGGACCCACAAAGAGGGAACTACCAGACCTCCCGATCCCAGGGGTTCCCTTTTCAATCAAAATCGCAGAACCGAACGCTGCAGCCTTCCCTTTCAATCCAACCTGAACAGGGGCTCCCTTGCACGTAGCCAAGGGAGATACCCTTTGAGCAACCAAACAAAGCAGGGTTGGTATCCTACCATTCGAGGTAAACAGCACTAGACATGCTGTGCTTGTTTTATGTTGAGGCTTGGGAACAAGTGGTTTAAAGGAATTCCGTAAGGAGAGGTGACTGCAGTCGTCCAAAGCCAGCAGACCTTTTGACCGATTGGGTTTCTCTGTTGGTCCGTCTTTTTCTCTCTCGCTTCCCCATTTCATGGACTGTTTTTCACTTTTGGGAAGACTGTTCTAGTGGCAAGCAAAATGTTCAGACTGTGTCGGGCCAATCCACCCAGGAAGCGAGATAGTAGTGCGCCCACCCAAACCTCTCCCCAGCAAGCAGGGAGTCCTCCGATTTGTCTCATGCCCTCTGAAAAAATCAAGTCAAGTTGTCCGGGGCTCAAAGGATCACAGAAAACATATTGTTCTGGCAGGCTTACCATTTTAAAACGCGTTTTTGTTTTTTCTCAAGCGAGGCTGAAAGGTCAGCTGTTTGTAGCCCGCGCTGGTCTTTAGATTTTCTGAAAAAGGTTTTTGTTTGACCCTTTAATTCTTATGGTGCCCAGTTTGATTCTGGTCGTTTCTCAAACTCGCAGGTCTCCTTAGGTTTGGTTTTGGCTGTCCGTTGAAACCCGTGGGGCTGAAAAGGGTTCCCCTTGTTAAGTCAGAGCATGGGCTAAAGTGGCCCGTTTACCCCGGATTTTCTTTACTTGATTGAGGGATGAGTTGCCCTTTTAAAGTGTTCGGCCGATTCCTGTTATTGGAGTGGACGGCGACGCGGGGCAGTCCGCGCGATCGGGGGTTAGGGGTTGGAGTTGGAACCCAACGACAAATGCCAGCCCTCAAGCGGAACGGCCATGGCTTTCTCTTAAACTGGAGGTTCAACCCGCTGAAGTGGCTATCGCCATTGTTATATCTGAGGTAACTGGAAGTCCCCTTAGACAGGATGAACACCCAGTGCTTTGAAAATGCCCAGTGCTTGTGACAAGTCGTTGGTTTCCCTTTCTACACCGAGGGTCCACTTTCGTAGATCACAGCCAGGACCTTCCGGCAGTATACTACGAGCCTCGGCAGGGCATTCTCGGCCCCAGCAGTAGCCGCTTGGAAAGTTGGTGCCAAACGCCGGGCGTCATGACCTACAAGTCACAATCGAAACGCGGGCAGAGCAGTAAGCAATAATTCTTCCCCATGAAACCTAGGTGCGGAAACCCGCCCTTGTGATTCTTTACATGGGTTTCGCAGACCATTGCAATCCCAAGTTTTGATTGTGACTCTTATGACTCATTTGGGTGGAGCTTTTTTGAGGGTAGCCCCCCCCTCAAAAAAAAGGCAGAAGGTGGATTTCTTTGATGTTTAACCCACAAACAAGGGTACCCTCCAAGAACAAAAAGGGGACATGGTGCATCCATTTGGGTGTGTCTTCTTGTTTTCGCGCTAGACGCAGCAGAACTTGATGACTCGTCGATGCCGCGAGATGGTTCGAGATGCTTCGACCAAGTTTCTTGAGCCGTGCTCCAGTGCCCTTGGCCCCTCTTGGGGGGTTTCCAATGGATTGGAAGCTGGGGTTGGGGAAAAAGTTCCCCCGAGTTCCTGGCCTCCAGCTTGGACCATGAGCCCATGTTTGTTATTTTGTTTTTCCTTTGCAGTGGTTGAAATGTCGGCTTTTGAGTGGGCCCCGATGTCATCCCACGCAAAGAACCAAGTGATCAACCCCTAACTCAAGACACGGGGCGAAACATATCAGAAGAAGTGCTCCCGCTCGGGAAAGAGGGTAGCTTTGTGCAGAGCTGGACCCACCGAGGCGTAGAGCAGCTGGTAGTGGACTTTCTCACTCGCCCCTTGCCGCAGGCGTGAGGAAATGGTGAGCTTTCACGGCAAGGGTCCCAAAGGGTACCTTGGTACGTTCTGAACAGGGGTCTCCTCTTACATTTTAGGGTAGGTGAAATATAGAACAGAGTCAGAAAGTCTGATTTTCTGTGTACAGATGTTTGTTTGAGAGGCACTTAAAGACTCCACCATTCTCTCGTGGAACATCCAGATGTGCCATGGTGTGTCGTGTTTTGCCCTCAAAATGTGGTTTGCCACTGTGGTTTCCCTTCCACAAGAAAGGCACCCTCAAACTTGCCGCTAGTCTTTGGAGAGGCTCAGCTGGCAAGCTTTGCCGCTTGGATGTGGAGAGGTGGATGAATTTCATGCGAGTCAACATGTCCAGCAGTCTACTGTCCAGGTGGGAAAACACCGCGAACCCCACTGAATTCCCCACGCCAAGGGGATTCCTCCGAGCACGTCCATGTCCTTTGTTGCAGCCCAGGGAACAATCGTGGAAGATTCAAAAGGAAAATGGCTGCTTGCCTTTGGCTTGTCTGGAGCTGCATGAATCAGACTGAGGGACTGATGTGGAACTCTTTGCAATACCCTACCTGCTGATTGTCGACCTGCAGTGTTATGGCCTTTCTTTCTAGGACAACGCAAAGGTTCAACTTGTGCATTGACTGCATGGTGTAGCACGTAGTTTTAAGGAGGTTACCTTGAGACAGACCCAAACCCTTCCATTCTGGGTGTGAGGTGGCACTCGCCAGGTGACTTCCTGTCTCGGATTGCGCGCCGGGCGCCATAGCAGCTGCGTCGAAGTTTCCAAGGACGTCTGGTTGGCGCCCGATTTCAAGGCTGAAGTGCCTTTTCGTTTTCAACATTTGAAAAAAGGGTACCCAACACGAAACCCTGGAAAATGGAAACAAAGACTTAAACTGCGTAACCCAGCTCTTTACTGTTTGAGCCACGCCCATTTGAGAATTTGCGAATGATAGTTCATCCGATGGAATGAATGGAGCTCGGACATGTTCATAAAACCTAGGAGCCATGTGGAATGGGTGCCATCGAAGAGAACCTGAACATACTTGTACGTGCCGACATATGGGAACAACACGTTGGTGGGTTGCGTTTGATCTCCCTTCAAAACCGTCGTAGAAAGAGTACCCTCAATCACACACACTAAGAAGAAGATTGCTCAGAACAGTTTTCCGCGCCGGGAGAAGATAGACTTTTCTCAGCGCTTTTGCCATGACTCGGGCTGACCTTCTATTCCAAAATTGAGGAGGGGGCAAGCCGCCCGCTGCCCACCTACAGTAATAAGCAAACAGTTCACAAGCTTGGTTGATTTTCCCACACTGAGGCGGAGTAAAACCGCCTATCTGTGAACAGGGAAATCTTTTTACCACCTTTTGTGAGAAAATTGGCGACCCCCTCAAAAAGGAATCCTTCACTACAAGGGGGTTCGATCATTTTTTCACCAAAGGGGGCAAAAAGATCCCCCTGTTTGTGAATAGTTCGCCTTTTTGGACCCAGGTATGGCTGCTCTTTGGTCCGACCGAATCACCCTGAAGTTTTGGAGGCAAATGTGACGTTTCTTGACGGTGCTCAATAGGGAATATCCTTCTGGGTGTTTGGAGTGAATTGGAAGAGGATTCCCTCAAAGGAAGCCATAGGAAATGAATGGCTGGTTTTGAGAGCATTGTTGGTTGGGATGTGATTCGTGATAGCACATGCAGAAAAACATGGTATTTACTGTGTTTTGCAAGCATTGGAGCTGTAGAACTATATCCCTGTGAGAACCCCTGCTGGTTTTTTTTGGGGCCTTTCCTTGGTTGCTCCCAGCCATCCCCTTAGCTTTTTAGCCTTTTTGTGTTTAGTGGTAGTTTCCATTTAACCCACTAACAGTTCTCAACTTTTAGCGGGGGATCCGAAAACGGGGAGCCCAGTGGGCTGGTTGGATTGTAGTTCTCATTCCCTCTGAACACCTGAACCGGAAGGGGATTCCCTTGAACGAAACCGCAGGAAATGGAGTGGGTTTTTGGAAAGGCGTGACATTTGTTTCCATTTCACCCACTAACAGTTAGCCACTTTTAGCGGGGATTCGAAAACGGGCAGCCCAGATTCCATGTCTCATTCCCCGCTGAGAACCAAGAAACCTTCGAAGCTTTTGCAGAGGTCTCCAGCTTCGTGCAGAACTCCAGCGCCTGGCTGGGGGAGCGGTGAACCGCGGTTGCCGAGGTTGTTTGTTTTGTCTTTCTGTTTTTTCTTTTGTTTTTTTCCAAAGCTTCTTGGGGTTGATTCCTTGTCAATTCTTTGCAACCATCGTTCTTTCTGAAAACCGGATCCGTTTTCCCCAGGTTTCCGGAGGTTTTCTAGAAAGAAGGATGCCTGGAAAGAATGGGGAAGGTAGCACTAGAGGCACCCTGGCAAACTAGGGTTTGCTGCTCCAAAAGGATGGTCTAGCGAAGGGTAGACGAATGAGGCAAGGCGTTTTTATCTCTCTTTTTTCTCTGTGTGCCCCTTTTTTTGTGGGCCGAGGAAGGGAGATGAAGGAAGTCCCAAAGGGAAAACAGATGCTTTGGTGCACTTTGCCTGGATGTTAGGACTTTAACTTTTTGCCAACTAATGGGTTTTCCACTAAACCACTAAAAGTTAAACTTTTAGCAGGGGAGCAGACAGCAACCAAGGATGAAAAGCCGTGAATTTGGCCATGTGCGCTCTTTGCCGTCCAAAGACACAGTTGGATCCTGAAGGCCCCGCTTTTGCTCGAGGTACCCCTGTCAGGTTCCAGGTTTGTCTTGGGAGCATATGTTCATGAGGAATCAGGGTTGTATCAATCGGAAACCGGAGCTTCAAAATCATGTGTTCTTATGACCGTCTTGGCGGCACACAACTAAATCAGTTTAGAGGAGACTACCAATCCACTCAGGAAGTGAGTTAGTACAGCCTGGCTTGCTTCGAGGATTTGAACATTAACTTGACCTGTTTGTGAAGTGTCTGCACGGTTGCTTTGATTCTCAACAGCTGACCAACCCACAGGCGCCCGAAGCCCTCATTGGCCATTCTAGCAGTTGGTTCTACTGCTTGGCTTCATAGCGGGAAAATGGAAAGCCCCAGTACAAACCTGTATACACATTTACAAGCAACACGTCTCGGCGCTGCTCGCATGTTCCCAAGTTCCACCAGGTTTTTTGTTGTTCCGACTTGTCCGGACAGGCCAAAACGAGCCCCTTGACACCTCCCCACCCCAACCGCTTTTCATGCGCCGGCTTGGGAGCCAACCAGTTCAATGAATGGATCCCGATGTTCCGGTGGTGAACTACCCTCTCACGCCGAACGCCAGCCTGGAAGGCTATGATGTCATCCCCTAACGAAAAAAGGTGGTGTTCTGGAAAGCCTCTTTGATCATGACAAAACATGGCTACAAAGCACCTCACCAGTGAATCCCAGTCACCTCTACAATGTTATAGTAGGTATCCCTTCTCCACGTTTTTTTTGTGTTTACAAGGTGGCAAACCCCTTAACTTGGTTTCCTATGCACTCTAACGGATCTACTGGGTACCGTTGCCAGGGTTGATTTGAAGGGAAGCTAAAGGGAAAGTCTTTTTGGGGTGTTCCCAAAGAGGCACCCCAGATATCGATTTTTTCACGAGGTGTGTAGGGTTCTTCAGCCATGAGGCAGTGCCATTGGTCGCGTAGGCCAATGCTTGGTCATCAGAACCTGGCTTGCTTTTCTGGTTGGGATTACTTCATCTACCCAGATTTCGATTGTGGCTCACCTATGGCCATGGGTCAACAGCCCGGTTATCCCCCAGTGAACATCCCAATCCCCACTAAAATAGGTTCTAAAATGGACCTTCCCCAAAATTTTGGGATCCCAAACCGGTTTTGACCACCACAGCCAGATAGCAGAAACTCCGGGGTCAAAAGCCCGTACTCCCCACTAAAATAGACCAAACTGGGTGGCGCACGTACCAACCAAAATGGGATCCCATGGGTTTTGACCACAGCCAGATCTGTCTGGTCGAGCCGATGGCCAGGACTACTACCAGCTGCCCGGGGCGCTCGCGCCGCTGGCCGAGATCCACTCGGAAGGAGCCCCCCGATTTGCGAAGCGACGGAATGCGCGCCAAGCGAATGGGAGCTCTTGGAGCGGAATATTATTCCCCATGTCATCATGAGGTTTCTTTTTGGTTCACACGAGGACGAATGGAAAAAAGGGGTTAATTAGTTGGAGGTTTGTTTGGGGAGGGAATTGGTTTGGAGTTGGTTTGGCAATTCCTCTAGGGGTTGATTTCCCTTGGGTGGGTCATACTTGCCACTGGTTTTGGAGGTTCCCTTTGAAATCAGCAACGCAATTAGAGTTGTAGGGGTTGATTTCCCATTCTGAACCCAGGGATCCTTCTTTTCAGAAAACCAGCGGAATCCAAGGGGAAACAGATCCGGTTTTTGGAAAGAACGAGGGTTGAAAAGAATGGACAAGGACTCAACCCCTAGAATTCCCTAGAATTCGGCCCCTGAGTTCACACGAGGACCAAAAGAGAAAAGGGTTGGTTGGAGGTTTGTTGGGCTGAGAAACCGCTGGCAGGGGATGCTATATCAAATCCAGTGGTTGCTTGGTTTCGGTCGAAATCTCTGCAGGCTTTGCTGGCGAGTTGATCTACACCCACCACTTTTGTGTAGAAACCCTCATTTTCGTCCGTTTCGGACTGAAATGATAAGAGAACAAAACACTTTCAATCCTAGGTTGAAGGTTGACCAAGAGTGAATGCAACGGATGGATTTACAAAATCCTCCTTCGCCAGTTGGATATGTATGCAACCCTGGAAATACTCGGCTGGTGCCCCAGTAGTGCCCTTCTCTCCCCTTTGTTGGGGGAGGGTTCCCCTACTAAAATAGACTGCAGAAAAAAGGGCACCCTTATTCTAACCTCCCTGCTGGAGGACCTAGTCGGGAAACAACCATCTACCAACCGTTGGGCAGACCGCCGTCGGGATTTTTCCTTGGAGGACCTTTGGGTGAAGCCACGATGTACGGCTTCAGCATCCCTCTGCAGCACTCCGGGCTGCCGCGGGGCAGAGGCTGAGATCGCATGAGCTCAGGGGCACATGAGGCCGTGTGTGTCTTTTTTGGAGGTACGAGGTCGAGTCGGACGTCCCAACAATAGCAAACCTGGAAAACCAGGTTACCTCTATTTGGGTGAATCTTGTTTTATGGTACCCCTCCCCCTCCCGAAAAAGAGGAAAAGTAAAACATGGTGGTTCTCCGTTTGGTTTGCCTTGAAAAGCCAACCACTGGCTTATTATACTTTGAGACCGTTGAACTCGGTGGCCCTCGGGCCATTTGTCTTACCTGCTTCGCTTTTTGGTTGGTTTAGTGGGAGTTTCCATTCAAGCCACTGAAAGTTCTCAACTTTGAGCGGGGGATCTGCGGGCAGCCCAGTTCAGTGGTAAACAAACCGGACTTCTGGCCGTTTTGATGAGATGTTAACAGGTTGAACATTTTGTTTCACAACCAAATGCCTTGTCTTCTCGGTTTACAATGTCTTTTCAACTTGTGGCTGATTTGGCAGGACGAGGGTTTACCAGGAACCAAAAGGAAAGCCCACCATGTATGGGGTATTCCTACTTTGAAGGTTGACTGTTGCATCCCTGAAAGGGGCAACTGGATCGCCCCCCCAATTCCTGCTTTTTCTTAGACGCTGGTCACAGTTGTTGTCTGAAAAAACCCAGCACCTGGGAATTGTTCGGCACTTGTTTTGTGTTGAGGTTGCCTTGCTTCGATTCGGCGTCTTTTGGCTGACAATGTGACTAGCTTTCGGGCACTTTGGCCGCCGGTTCTGTCTGCTGCGTCGGAGGTGTTTGGCAGCTGGCCACCTATATGAAGGCTCGCTCCGGGCTGCCGCATTTTACAGGGTTCCAACCGGCGGGATCCTCTTCTCGGGTGGAAATTTTGAAGGAAAATTGTTTGGCTGTGTTTAACCCGGCACCACTGCAGGTCTGGGGTCCAACATCACCGTTTGGTTTTGCCAAGTCAAAGATTTGGCAGCGGGTTTTAAGATCGTTTCCTTCTGGTGAGGTGTTGTCGATAGTTTGGCATATCAAAGTGTGTGAGGCCAATCCGCCGTTTCGAGCAGTCCAGCAAGTTTTGGCACCTGGGACATATTAGCAACGACCAGAGTCCCAGGGTATCGGTTTGTCGTAGTAGTCTCCGATAGGTTTTCTGAAGCGGTCTTTCGGGCATTCACATAGCCATGGGCTCATGAACTGTTGGATATCGAGTCAGTGCGCGGAGTACGCACGAGCGGTGAAGTGGCCAAAAGGTCACCGTTGAACGCCTCACAGGCAAGAGAGCCGGCTCCCCCTGGGGTAGTTTCAACATCACCTTTATGCTAATTCCAAATGTCGGTTGCCGATTTCAAGCAAGCATGAACACCCCACACCCCCCATTGGTAGGTGATTCTACCACCTGGCGCTGTCGATGATTCAGGTGTTATAAACCTGTATAGCCATCTTGAAAGGACTTGCAAGTCTACCGGTTTTTGGGAACTGCTCAAGTCATGTCGTTTTGCACGCTTAAACAAGGTCACGGCGTTGCTAATGACCACGCTGCTTTTGACCATGGCGACCAAGCACGTTTACCAAAGTTCCTGCGTTTTATGAACATTTCGTTGCATCGTTGACACGCACCATGTTTATTTTGTTCCATTTTTACCATGGCTTTGACAAGAAAGGGCCAAATCGCCTGAGAATAGCAGCACTTCGCGCTGCTGGCCAACACACGCGCGTTTCTTGAGGCTGCCGGCCTCTTTTTTTCAAGGTGCAGCAGTGAAGTTGATGACCAACAAACGTCGGGATAGAACAAAACAGGCAGCACGCAAAGCCGGGGTAAGCGGGGAGCGGGCGCGCGAGAGCGTCAGCCAGGCAGCGCGAAGACACGGCAGTGCAGCAGGTAACCGACACCAGGACAAAGGGCTTCGAGCAGATATCGCACCAACAGATGCCGCAAAATGCGCGAAAGGATCAGACGAACTACCAGCGAAAACTTCAAAGTGAGCGTCCAACAAGAACGGATCACACGTCCACAATGCCTGGAACCACGAGTCAACAATGGGGCAGGGTGCACACGCGACACGCAGCAGCAGAACGTACGCAACACAAAGAGCGAGAACAAAATGATGACCCATGGTCCTGGAGCCAAAGGTTGGGCCAGTGAATGCCTCAGGGGCGAAAGACGCATCTGCAGCAGTTGAGCGGGTGTGCTTATCATGCCCCCAACCCCCCCCCCCCCCAGAACCATGTTATTTTGTAATCCGGTAAAGAGCAGGCTGCTGCAGAGCGGGCGTGCTTATCATACCCCCCCACCCACCCCCCCTCCCCCCCCGCCCACCCATCCCCCCCGAACCATGATGCATGAACGCAGGGATGAACGTCCAAAAAACAAAGAACTCCACGGGGTCGTTAAGGACGCCGTGAGCTTAAACAACGATTCGCACATAGCTGCACTATCAGCAACAAGAGACAAAGACAAAGGGCACTGCTCAAACGAGATGATGACTTGTTTTGAAGGGCACTGCTCAAACCAGATTGTTTCAATCAATATAATGTAAAAAAAGAGAGAACCAACAAAAAACAACACTATGTATGGCACTTCACCCCCAATTGGGGCGACCCCCAACATCTTCCGCGCGAGGCGCTGGGTGCTTGGCATCCCTTGGACCTTGGCGCGGCCACCTTGAGCGCCGTAGAGTCGTCGGCGGAGGCATCGGAGGTGGCAGAGCTGGCAGCAGAGGCGGGAGAAGCTGACCCTGTGGATGGGTTGCGAAATCCGTTCGTGCCATTTGTAAGCCATGCCGCCTACTCAAAATACCCGCTTTTTTCAGGGTAATGTTGACCCCGGATTAATAAACCCCTGGTTGATTTATAGGGGGGTGTCCCCTTTTAGCGGGAATTCATCACTTTTGGAGGGAGGGGAATCATCAGAGACCAGGGTTTGCTGGGTGGTGCGAATCGGATTCCGTTTATCCACGGTATGTCACACGTCGCCATGGCACCTCACAGGGACCCGGTCACTCCAAGAGGAAACTGATCTCCCGCCTCCCAGATGCCATGTTAGTGCCAGGAAGGCTAGTTGTTCAACCTTTTGGCTTTCCCTTTTCGGCCTTGTAAAGGTCCCACGGTGTTAACCTTTTATTTCATTTGCTTCTTTGCGCAAATGAGGAAAAGACCAGCCCAGACTTCCAGTGGTGTTCGCGTTCGTTTGCTTTTTGGGTCGGTTCAAACGCCCACCACTGAAAAACAGATAATATCTATATCGATGTTTTAAACGTCCCAGCCTTGACCTCCTGTCTTCTTCTGTGTGGAAGGGGGCATGTAAACTGATATTATCCCAATATGTCCCCTTTGGGGTCGTTTTAAGCATCATCTTTAAAGGGCCCATTTAAGGTGAGTTCCCTTGAGTAGGGGGGATGTTTTGAGGCAAATTCCATTCCATTCACTGCCAGCAAGGGCATCCTTCTTTCCATGGCCACGGGTCTTGGACAGGTGTCCTTTCAGAGGCCTTGCTGCTTTGTGGGGCATGACCCTATGCTCAGTTGTGGTGGCTGCCCCACTAAAATGGTCTTCCCAAAAAAGGGTTCCCTTCTTTTTTCCAGGGTCATTGAACAACTGAGTATGTGGTAGCAACATATTTGGAAGACCTGTATTGTTTGGGGCATGTACCGGATCACGGAGCCATGGGACTGCGATTTTTGTTTTTTGCAAAGGGCCTGAGTGTCCGTCACGCATCCTCAAATCCATGGCGTCATTTGGTTTGCAAGGCCGAGCCCCTTGTGAGGCACCAAGGCAATCTGAAAAGCTTGTGTTGCCCTTCGGTCGACTGCACATGAGAGTCCAATAGCCCTTCAGAAACCTGAAAACAAGTAGAAAGCAAGCGAAGCAAGCAACTGCCACGGGCACTGGGATGGTATCCCCAGAGCCTAACAGGGGAACACTCGTCAGCCACGATCAGTTTACCCTGGTAGGGACCGAAGGGTTAGAAAAGCGGTATATACTGCCTGATGCCGGCCCATCCCATCCCAGAAATCGTCTTTGGCTCTTCCTTTGATGCCTGGCTGGAAGTAATACCCCAATTGAAGTGCAAGATTATCAAATTTGGTGCCGGGTGAACCCAGAGTCCATACAAACACATGATTCCGCCATGATCATAAGCACTTGTAGCCTCGCTGGTTATCCAAAAGGTTTTTGGAATGAACCCAGGGTTAGGAAACCTCAAAGGGCAGTTAGGGGTGATTCCCTCATTTGCTGAGAAGCAGCAGTACCCATGTGGCTGTGTCTTTTTTCCGGGTACCACTTTTTGGTCGGTGTTTAAATGAACACCAAACTGCCAAACCCCAGCCATTCGAAGGTTCCCCCAAACCGGCCCATGTCACTTTTTGAAAGCCAAAGCCATTTGAGGGGTCACCCCGGGGGGGGGGGGGAGGAAAAGAACAAACATCCACCACCCTCCAACAGTGGTCCATTTGTATCCACAGTGCTCTTGTGTGAGCCATTTTGAGCAATCACAAATGGAAAAGCCACCCTTGGAGGGTGCTGGATCGACCTCTGTGCGTGTTTTTTTTTTTCCCCCACCGAAAGGGGTCCCCCGCCATCATGCTGAAGCCATTTCAGGGTCAACGAAGCGAAAATCGACCAGCTGTCGCGCGAGTTTTTCTCAGCGAGAGGCGGCACCGGCGGGGCTTTCGGTGCTGTGCGCGCCGATGCTGCCCTTTGCGCTCTCAGGGAAGCCAGCGGAAGCGCGTCTCGGACGGGACGGGGCGACGGGGTGACTGCGGCCGGTGGCTTGTTGCATGGACCGACCGGATTTGGCTATCTGGCACTGGGGTCTCTTCTACAGTTGATCCCATCAAAAACCGCGGGTTTTTAAGAGGGGTGCTATTTGGGGTCTCTTCTACTGTTGACCAACTAACAAAAATAAACCCCAGTTTATTAATAGGGAGGGTGCTTCTCTCTGGGTGGAATGTTGGGAATCATCAAACCCCGGCTTATTAATACTGTAGGAGGTGGTTCTATCTAGGGGAAATGTGGGGAATCAGACCGCTTTTGGAGGGGAACACACCCTAAATAAACTGGGGGTGATAGCTGAAAGCCAGAATATATACTTTAGAGTGTTTGATAAGTGTGAACATAATTAGAAAAATGACATGGAGTACCTCTAAATGTGGGCCAAGCTATGGCTAGCAGGGAAGATGAGGCAGACGGGCTAGATCTACTGTAAGAGTGGCTTGGGGGGGCTGGCATCCTTCCTCTCCATGACCCTGCCCCGAATGAACCTTCTTAGGCGATCCTGGGGTTGTCTGCCACTGTGGAAACCAACTCGACAGCGGCAGCGGGGTGAAAGAGAGCCTTCCATGGTCGTTGTCGCGAAACATTTCACCTTTTTGCTTCTTGTGGTTTAGTGGTTGAAATCCCAATCCACTCAACTGCTACCTAAAATTTAGATGCTTGCTGCCCAAGCCCAACGTCAGCCAGGGCTTCAGCAGGTTTTGGGAGCCGAAGGTGACTGCGCAAAAGACTTCGAGTCGTAGCGTTCGGTGCTTCGGCGGCGATTTTTTTGCCGCTGGGAACCTCTACCCAGACCTCCGGGGAGATTTTTCGGAGGGGTTTCCTGCCAGGAAAGTCAACCAGCAAATCTGGGACTACAGCTGGTTAAGAAAGCCGGTAGGGTTTCCTTCTGCCCATCTCTGCCCAACTCGTTTCATTTGAGGGACCTGTTTCTTCATGCAAAAAGAAAGCAGCTAGCATGAAGTCTATTGCTTGCTGTGTTTCATGTACCAGCCAGAAGTGGCTCTCCTTTGCGACCAACCCGGGTATGTTTTTTAGGCAACCTACTAGTGGAACAATATTTGGACCTCTATATATAAACACTGTTTGCTGGGCTGTGCAGATCTTCAATGAGCAAATGAACCGCTTTGGCTTCCGAACAGCCTGGGGACCCTTTGCTTCAGAACTTGGAATTGCAGAATCAAGAGTCTGTCTGAGGAAAAACCAGCGCTTTAGGGCGGCCTTCAGGTTTTCCGTGCGGCCGTTTGGAGCGGGTTGACTGAAAGCTCCAGGTGCCGTTTCCGAGGCTTCCGAATCGCTGCTCCAAATGCTGAGCGCCGACCTTCCTCGGGTTTCGGCTCGCCATGGGCCGCTTGCAACACCCGAACTTGGGCGAATTGTCGGCTGCGGTGCGAATGCCGCGGAGAAAGGTCGGGTGACTCGGCGGTTCCCAGCCATATCCTTCCCTAAGGATCCAAGAATCCAAGGTTCCTTCTAAAAAGCTACCTAGACTCTCCATGACCCTGAAAAAATGGGGGTCATTGCCCAAATTAAGGAGTCATGACCCCTTTTTCTAGGGGTCATGGAGACTCTAGGTACTTTGACTCATGTTAAGCCCTCAAATGCCATTGGGCCCTTTGGGCTCAGACTTGCTAAGATTTTTCAAGTGTGGATATCCATCTCCAAATGGGTGGGTCAAACTTAAACCACCACAAAACCGCCTGGTGGAGCCATGAGTTCCATTTACCAGGGCAAGCCATTTTGGGTACCCATTTTTGACCAGCCAAATGTCTGTTTGTTCGGGAGCGAGCCTCTGAGGTGAGCTACTTGGTCGCTGCTGGCACGAGTCTTGCCGTCAGCTTCCGCCGAAGCCACGCCGTCCGCGCAGTGAGCCGCGCCGAGCTGCTGGTGGATGGAGATGTCCACAGTCTCGGCAGCATCTGAGCCACTCCGAGCCAACCTTTTGGATCTTTTTTTTTCTATGCTTTTCTTGGCTTGGCCAATGTTCTTTTAACCAAGGTCCCCAAGGTCCAAATTTGGGCAAGTGAGGCGTACAGAAGGCGATTCAGCTGCTGGCAAAGGAGGGACGAGCGGTGAAGGCGTCAATTTTCGGCCCACCTGGGGGCAGAAGGAAGAACCGGGAGTGGAACCAGTTTCTTCAAAGGCGGAACGTCGTATTCCGACCTGTGGCACGAGGGCAGGATGAGAGAAGGGAGGCTACTGATGAAGCCATTCACGACAAGATTAAATCACTCGCACGAGCCAAAGGAGTTGATTTCGTGGCGTTGCTTTCATCTGATCAAGGGTTTTTGAGCCCATTGCAGCAGTGCATTGCGTCTGGGACCAAGGTTGCGCTGTTCGTTCCAGAAACATGTTTTGGAGCAATCAAATTTGATAAAGGGAATGGGGTTCATGTACGAAAGCTGCCGGTGGAGCAAAACAGCTGCCACATCAGAGCACTCCTTCATGCAGATGGCAGAGGGACTGTGAATCGGGCTGAGGCCTATGAGGGTTGCCTTACGGACGAAGCCGTGACAGAACTGGAAGGGTTTTTGCAAGACTGGGGCGAGCCGTCTTGCTTTTTAATTCAGTTGCTTGCCAAGTTCTGGTTTGTCAACTCACTGGGTACATTGACGGTGTTCCCCCTTCAACATGGCGTGATGGCCGCGAGAGATGTAATCACCTCGGCCTCAAGCGTTCAATCGTGGCAGTCTTGCGGCCAGCAGCTTGCGTTTGTGCTTCCAGTCGCAGGAGTTGGAAAGGCAGCCAATTTCGGATCCGGCCTTGCTCGTAGAATATTTTACGGAGGAGGCCCGTTCATGCTGAGCGATTCCGCCAACTTGACATGCGCAGCCTTGACGAAACTTGGCTACTTGGATGAGGACCTCAATACGGATTTGACAGAAGCCATTTTGTGTTTCATCAACGCCACCGATAACAAGACAAAATTGCGCAAGCTGGACTTGCTGCCAGCAGATCATGCTGAAGCACGACAAATTGATGCACAATTGCGCCAGGCGTTTCTGTCGAACAGGACAGACGCGCAGTGGAGAGTTGGGCCCAGATGTTCCGCCCAGGTTCAGAGCATCTTGGTGGCTTCAGAGCTGCTTCCACGTGGGCCTGTGCCACGGGGAGAGTTGTTCGCGGCGATGGGAGCTTACATCCAACGTCGCAACCTGCCAGAGATGCAGACGTGGCATTGCCCAACTTAGCATACCGGTTCCTTCATCTTCCCTTCAAACGTTGTTCTTGTGCGGATAATTTCTATTGCCAGACTTGGCTAATATGTTTGACCTTTTGCCCCCGGCATCTGGCCTAGGTTCAATGGCCGCGCGTGGCGCATCATGAGGTCCAGGGACAGATGTCCTACCACGCGAGGTGTCATTGAGGTGGCCAGATCTTGAGCCCTGGTTTGGGATGCAGCCTGATATGAGACTCGGTGAAGCCTCCTGATATGGATCTGTCTGTTTCGAGGGTGCTCTTGGTGGGTATTGTTTTACAAGAGATTCAAGCAACAATTACTCCACACGGAGATCCGTGCCATCCACCAGACATATTTCTGGCTTCCATGGAGCAAAGCGCATCCCACAAAGTCCTCGGCTGATTGCGGCCCGCGTTTGCCGGGTCACCTTGCCGCGGCTTCAACGGTTTGAGGGGGAAAAAAAGGATGAGCCAGACTGGTTTTGCCACGAAACTTTAAACGGTTGCTGTTGGACCCAAACGGACTCTTCCTGCCTTTGTATCGCTTGTGAGCGGGTTGAAGGCAGACAAAAGGGGGTCGATCGGGGTTCAGATTTGCATTGGCAACTTTCAAACATCGTCGTTGTGGTTGTGGTGATGGCAGTCGTCTTGCTGCTCATCGCTTTAATTGTCGGGTCGGCACGCTTGCTCGCTTGACTTCGTACTCGTGGAAATTCGATCGCTTGTTTTCTTTGCCTTTTTGCAATTCGATGCGATGGGTCTGCTTCAGAAACAGGGCGAACCTTTCGGAAATACCATCCTGCGGGCCCTTTAGCTTTCAGACAAGACTACCATGATCAACCCCAAGGGTCCCCGGGTTGGGTGTATTTGGAAGTAGCTGGCGCCGCAAATAGTATGTTCCGTTCCCGATTCAAGCATTTGGATTCAAATCAAACCATGCATGCGAAACTCGCTCTTTGTCTATGGCAGGACACACTCCCCTGAAACAGGTACGCGCCCTTGGAGGCTCATATCGAGGGGAATCTTTCCGGAAGACTCAGTGAGCAAGTGCATGAGAAGATTTCACCATGCTCGAAAGGCTGGAATGAGATGAGCTCTAATGATCCGGACAAATCAGAGGAACCTCACCCACGGCTTTTGCAGCCTCGTCCCAAACAAGAGCCCCCCTCCCCGCCGCACGTTGCGCATCTAAGGCTTGTTCTGCTTCGGCCTCCGGTCGCGCACGCCTCCAATTGGCAAAAGGTCTCCTGGAGAGTGTCACTTGACAGCACCTGATGTGGTTGATTCAAACATTGCGAGGCGATCTGTTCAACCTCTAAGTGGACTTGCAAAAGTTGTCCCTGTCAACCGACAACAACAAGACTAACAACCACTTTTCCGCTGTTCACCAGCAAAAACAACACATTCCGGCCACTTCTTTGCCAGGCTCAGCTGTCCTTTTGTCCATCCCAGATTTACCAGAGAGAGCTACGGACCTGAGCATTCTGACAACTGATTGGCAGGTTCCTTTTACACTGAGCTCTTGGCATTTCCGTTCAAACTAGGCTGGTTTTAGGATGACTTTGGCAGGTCTAGGCATTTCTGTTGCTTGGTTGGCTCTAGGATGACTTTGGCAGCTCTTGGAATTTCCGGTTTTTTTCAACTCCGAGACTCCGAGGATGCTGTTGGTAGAGTCTCTTTTGTCTTTCCCTCAGGTTTGCCTTTTTTGGCCGCGAGCAACTCGTTTTGCAAACGGATCTCACCTATTTAGAGGGTTTCCCTAGTAAGCAACTAGTTGATGTTCGGTCTATGGTTCATTTGGGAGGGACATACTCCCAAAGGTCGTAAGCCAGAGGGTCCTTCCCGCGCGTTCTTTTTTCGACTTTCAGACTTTCAGACCGCAACTCCTGGGGTTTGAGAGACGTGTTTCGCGGAAAGCCATGTGCTGTTTTCTTGGTTCAATGGCTATCAGATGGTTCTCAGATGTAGTCAATAAAGTAAATAGCCATCTATCGGATGGTTTGACTACATCTGATAGCCATTTATCTTGGTTCAATGAAGTAGATAGATGGCAATTTCAGATGTAGTCAAGATATGGGCGCCCCGAACATGGTAGCTTTCACGCGCGCACGCGCCCGCGCGGGCACGCGCACACACAGACACACCTGTTGGTTTGTCTCACAATCAGGCTTTAGAGGGACCCCAAAACGGGGTACCCTCAAAGGCAAACAGGCCCATTTGCCATGTGGCCCCCTGTTTGGACCTGGTGCCTTCAAGGAAGCCGCTTGTAGTTGTTTTTTCCCCGGGGAGGTTCGCTCCGCACACCTATGTCTGGGACTTCATCGAGCGCAGCTTCTTCTGGAGGCTGGGCAATGGCGGGTTCAAAGGCGAGAGACCTTGGCGACTGGAATATTCCCGGGTCCCAGTAATTCATTTCAGGTCAAAATTTGGCCCCTAAAAGGATCAGGCGCCGAGGGACCCTCTGAGCTTTGGTGCAATTTGCTTGGATGTTAGGACTTTAACTTTTTGCCAACTAATGAGTTTTCCATTAAACCACTAAAAGTTAGTCACTTTTAGCAGGGCAGCAGAAAGCAACCGAGTGAGGGAACCGGTGGTTTCTGTCATTTGAGTTCCCAGTAGCATATGATTATTGATTTTGTTTTCTCATTTCAGCTTCTGGAGCTAGGAAGTGGGTGAGCAACCACCAGGACCCAATGGCTGGCAAATAACCCCAAGACAGCCATTGGCAGGTCATTCCACAGACCATTTGCCAGCCATAAGGGAGTCCTGGCATGTCTTCGCACCAAGGTCCCCCAGTGCCCTTTTTAACATGTTTCTTTTTTGGGGGGAGGGTTCCCCTACTAAAATAGACTACAGAACAAGTTGGTACCCTTATTCTAAACCGTAAGCAAACAACCATGACAGCACAACAGCCCACAGCAGCTCAACAACCTACCCAACCAACCCAGCCTCTACTGGAGGACCTAACATGTCTTCGCCGCCTTGGGTTCCACGCGAAATCCACTTCTGCCGCGATTTCTCCGCTTTCGAGGCGCGTGGACGTGGCCGGGGCGTCGGCGGATCTGCCTGTGGCGACGGTACCAGCGCTGCCCATCCTGGAGCCTTTGAACCGCCTAGTCTTCGAAGGCCCGCGGCTTTAGCAGCTCTTCTGTTGCCCGGTGGGTTGCTTCATTTTTCATTTTTTTTGGGGGTAAGAGTTCCCCTTTTAAACTCAACCAACAAAACAGGGGTGTCTTTTTTTGACCATGGCCACTGGGCATCTGAGGGGGTCAATGTTAGATGACATCTCACATCCAGGCTTTGACTGAAATGAGGAAAGAAAGGAGTTAAATCCTAGGTGTACCTTAGGCTGTAGTTGAGTGATGGCTTCCAATAAAACTCGCTTTTGGAGGTCCCAAAACGGGGGCAGTCGATTTAAGGAGGGCTTCCCTTGAACCATTGGGGGTGAGGGTGGAGGACTTCCCAAGTTGGACTGAGTCGTGTGCTTTGAAGGCCGCTGTAAACAAGTCTGGAAAGACAGCTTCAGTCCAGATCGCTTGGTTCGAGTCGATGTTTTTTGGAGGTTTGGATACTCAAAGACGGGGCCCGAAATACATCGGGAGCGTTTGTTTGCGCAGAGCATTTTTTCCCTTAGAAGGGGAAAAGGGTTCATTGGAAGGGTGTGCACCTCCAAACGGCTCTTGGAGTCCAAAAGATTCTGATCTACTTTGGGTTTTGGACCCCGAAACCCTTTGGTTGGCGTAGGGAAGCCGTGGAAAGCTCACCATTTGTTCCGGTTTTTGCTCCCCCCTTGGTTGGCCCAACAAAACTCACAGGTTTGGTCGCTCTTGGGCAGGCGATGAGGAGTCAGACGAGGGCTGGGTCAGCAACCAGACCTACGGCTTCCGCCCCTCGGCCGAGAATTTTTGTCGGGAGGTTTGAGGTTGATCAAAGGGTCCGTTGCATGAGACCGTTGGTTGGAAAACCACTAAACAGATCTGATTGCTCAACCACATGGGAAAATTACCCATGAGTAAATGGAACCAAGTCTTTCAAAGAGGTCCTAAGAGCTCCATGTTAGCCTGGGGAGGGACATGGGATGCTTGGCACACCACCAAAAGTATATTCCAACCACTAAATGGGAAGACAACAAAACAACAGATGCGATGTTTCAACCACAGCGGAGAAGGTTACCATGGTCGAAACTGGGGGTCCAAAGGTTGTTGAATTTTTCAGACCCCAAAGTAGTAGTGGGAACCCGCCAAAAAGGCTGGCTGTTCTTTGGGTGTCCCTGAAAACAAAAAAAATGTGACCTCAACAAAAGAGTCCCAAATGGACCCACCAGCAGATCCTTTCAAAAACGACCAACAACTACGTACCAGGTCGTTCTGTCCAGCAAGTGCTTTTTTTAAAGCTGAGAGCGCATGTCTACGTGCGAAAAGCATGCAACCGGACTTCAAACATCGAGTAAGCTGGGGTGAGCAATCTCAATTGCGGAGCCATGCGCTTTTATTGCGGCACGTGGAAACCTTCCGTCCAAAATAGATCCCCCGCGCGAAACAAACATGGGTACCGGCGTGTCTCCTTTCGAGAGCACTTTTTCGGATAGGCTTGAGGGAAGCCAAAGGAAAACAATCTGTTTTGGGGGTTCCCCGAGTTTGAGAGCCGAAATCAAGCAAACCGTTTGAGGGAAGCCACTGGAAACGGCTCATGCTTTGACACTTTCCATTTTGAGACCCACCTGTCGGGCACCTTGCCAGGCACAACCATCCAGGTGCCCACGCAAACTGTGCGCCATGGGGCCAACGACTGGGCCAGGGCGCCGGATCTCGGGTCGTCGGGTCGGGGGGATGCGTGCCGTGTGGTCCACAGGTCTAGGGGTTGGTTCCTTTTCCATTCTTTTCCACCATCGTTCTTTTCAAGAACCGGATCTGTTTCCCCTAAAATCCGATGGTTTTCTGAAAAGATTCGGATCCCTGGGTTCAGAATGGAATTGGACGTGTCCCGCCCAAAAGACTTGGTTGCAGCGAGAGTGGTAGAAGGCCAGGGGTTGAATTGGGGTGAGGGTTGGGGCTATGGAGGCTCCCACAGGCTTCCGATTACCTGCAGCTTCAAACAGGAGGGCCAGAGGGAGCGGACAGGTGCGGAGCTCTGAGATTTACGTGGCTGTGTCTTTTTTCAGGGCCCGTTTGGGGTTGGGTGGACGTGGAACTAATCCAACATTCAACTTTCGAAACGAGATCTGACCCAGACAGTACGTGTTGTTCAGGCAAAGGCTTACAGATCACCTCTGCCTGTGGAGCCAGGGAATTCGGGGGCAAACCGAGCAAAAACCGTGCGGTAGGTCTGTTACTTGGGGTTCCAATTCCTGTTTCAGATTTGGAACTGCTAGATGTTGCAGATCAACTTTCCAAAACAGGCGCCTCTTTCTTATTTCCCAGGGCACTGGAGATTTGGACGCTGCTCGATTTGTGAGAAGCCCAGTTCAGAGGATTCCACCCTTTCAATCCTTTGGTAGGTTCCCCACGAAACATGGTCACCCCAGCAAAGGGTTCAATTCCTTTGCCGAGGCCACAGGGGCCCCGGAGCCACGAACGAGTTTTCACCACTCAAGGTGAAGCCTTGGAAGCCTGAAAGCCTGTGGATTCACGTGTGCCTTTTGTTAGGGAAGCCCCGTGCCATGAGTGGCGTTCCTTTTGATTTCCCGGGGTGGCCTCAAGACACCCCCCATGTAGAGTTGCTCCAAGCCGTCAAAAGATGAATGGCTCTAGAAGTTCACACCAGGTACCTTGGACCCGGGTATTTGTTTGACAATGTTCGGTTTTTCTTCTGCTTTCGAAACTCAGAAAGGCGTTACGTGGACGGCTCCCTAAATTTTGTTTTTGCGCTGACGCTGAAAAAACAATTGCAATTCAAGAAGCTCTGTTTGAGGGCAGAACTGGCTGTACCTTTCTTGAGGATCACCCTTTTTTGGGGGGTGCTTTTAAAGGGACACCCCAAAAGGAACACAGCCATCTCTCTAGGGGTTGATTCCCCATTCTTTTCAGCCATCGTTCTTTTCAAAGACCGGATCTTTTTCCCCCCGGGTTTTTGATGCTTTCCTGAAAAGATTCGGATCCCTGGGTTCAGAATGGAATTGGATAGTGTTTCCTAGGACACGACTGACCCCCCGACCGCCGCCCAAAGGACTTGGTTGCGGCGAGAGTGGTAGAAGGCCAGGGGTTGAAGGTCCTGGAACTTTTCAGCCATCATTCCTTTCAAAAACCGGATCTGTTTCCCCCCAATATGTTGATGGTTTCCTGAAAAGATTCGGATTTTTTGGGTTCAGAATGGTTGGAAGGTCCCCCCTAGAGTCTCGGGTGTCTCCCCAAGTCGATTTGGAGGCCAAGAGCCGGAGAGCCGTCCGGGGGGCGGACCTCAGGTGGTGATCTGGGGCGATGTGCTCGCGGCGGCGGCAGCTTCCGGTCAGCAGGCGTCGGGGTGAAATTCATTCGAGCCGCGCGAGCAGAGGTCTCCCGGTGTCCTTTTTGGTTGTTTTGGGCAGAAAAAGTAGATGGGTTTCGATTCCTGGTTTAGCTGGTGGTTTAATCATCTACCAGGCAAACTCATCTATTTGCCCTAAAAGGACACCTATGAGCAGAGGTCTCCTGTGTTCTTTGTGGTTTGTTTTGGCAGAAAATGGATGACTACTGCTGCTGCTGCGACTACTGCTGCTACTATATACGTTTTCCTACTACAACCACTACTACCACCACCACTTTTGCAAAAGTAGAGTCACAAAAAGGAAAGCCAATGGCCCTGGTTGACCTGGGTTTTTCAATCTACCAGGGCCGTCCACGCCAGGCAGCGACGCAAGAAGCCTTATGCTTGACAAGCCACCAATCAACCAGTGGCAAGAGGGTGTCAAAATACGGCTACCCCAAATCCTGGTTGTCTTCTTGTTGGTTTCCCATGAACACCGAAAAGTGTACAGCACCCTCAAGGGGCAAGGGTGGGATAGCAATCCTGGCTGTGGATGGCCAGAATCCACTTCACACCAGTTGGAGGATGGTGTATGTATAGGGCTTGGTCCACCCGAACTGCGAAGTGGATTTTGTCAACACACAGTATCAGAGGCTAAAGACATGCTTGTGGAAAATTGGGTTTGGGCACAGTTTGGTGATACCAAGGAACCCGGTTTTAGCGGAACGCAGTCATAGGGATGCCTCATGTTGGTATTACTTGAAGGGCTGGAGACTGCACAACTTGCCATCAAACTGGGTTTGCGACTTTTTGCGGCACAACTCTGCACACAAAAACACGTGTTTTTCAGATTCTGCAGATTGAGCCTAGTCGGAACATATGGAGACCCCGACAAGTCCAAGAAGGCTTGGGACATGATTCACCCCATCCTTTTCTTGGTGAGGAGCAACCCACCAACATATAAACTACAATGCTCCACCTTTTGAAGGGACCCAAATCTCCAAACTTGCTACATGTGTGGCCATTTGGCCCAAAAGGGGTGCGTTTCTGGGGACCAAGAGTCTCTTTTGGCTCAATGGGCGGGTTCCATGGTGCTGTCATGTTCAATCCAACTGGCCTAAACGAGGACACATAGTTGGCGCGATTGTCGAGGCAATCTCAATGGCCAATAGCCACAAATAGGATCTATTGGGGCTGTCTTGGGTTCCTCTCGGGGACCATTGCCTTTGAACTGATCTGGGGTTGGGAGCCCATTTTTGGGAACCCGAATCTATCAGGGCCCTAACTTGACTGCTAGTTGGTTGGATCTTTTACCTTTGACTTGTTGGGCAAATGTGTTTTCAAGCTAACCTGCAAAATGTGAAGTTCAAGTCCACCGGTCCGGGTGCCAAACCAACCGTAGTTGTGAATGCCCCTCAAAGGAAAGAACAAAGGAATGGGTTATTGTGTAAAATTTCCAGGCCCCCTTTTTGCAGCCAACTTAAGAGTTTATTTCCAAATAGCCAACCCTTCCCTAAATGGGTCGATTCCCTTCGCGCTCCTTTTCAAGCGGCCGATTTCGAGGCGCCTCAAAAACGGACTTCGAGCCAATCTCGATTCCAGCCCTTTGAAGTGAAGCGTACGCACGCTGTGACAGGAGTTTGGTTTGGAGCTTTCGTCAAAATCCGGTTTTGTTTCCCAACTGTCCAATAGAGTTGGGGTTGACCCCAATAAACAACCAGGTTTTCCAAGGTTTATTGTTTTACATCATGTGTAGTCCGGGGCCAACCGGCTAAAATGCTTACAGTGCACTCAACAGGCTTTACAATACGATTCACAGACGGCCCTAAACGAGTTCTAATACACTCAGGTTCCAGCTTGCATCAAAAAAACAACCATACGTGTTGTATTCTAGACATGTGCATTTGTGTTTTTGAGCAAGGGAACCACCTCCAAAGCGGTTGGTAGACGTAAACCCTCACCGAAATGATGCCCACCAACGGGTCACGCAGCTTAGCGGGGCTGCCAGGTTCGCGCGGTGCACGGCTTTCAAGTCAGGCCTACGGCACAAGGCGGGCGGAAACAAACTGCGGAGATCGCCAATTCCGGTTGAACCATCGGACCTACGTGAAGTGTTTGTTTTATGCAGCCCCTTCTTACTGCCCAAGTGTGACAGCAAGACGGTTTTGCAGGTACACACAGAGTTTGCACTTTTAAAAGGAGAAGTCACTCCTTACATTCGTATTCAAGTCCAGGCCCCAAGAAAGCACCCCCTGTATGTAAGCTTACTTTAGGGGACTATCAGGCGGGTCCGACTTTGTGCCCAAGTCTATGCCGCGGAGGAGTTTTTTTATCGGATACTCAGCAGAGCTCTATGATTGGATGGTAACCATTCCACGAGCCCCAAACCAGTACCTCAGAGGAAAATGGTGGTGTACCATCGTATAGCCGCATGCGATAGGGAAAGGGTAATGTTGACCCCATATTAATCAACCCCAGTTTCTTAATGGAGGGCCATTTTTTTGGTTTTTGTTTAATGCTTTTTTTGTTTTTCAGGGTGGGTGGGCTTTTTGGCTTTTGTGGTTTTTACGAGGGTTTTTGTGGCTTTTCATTTCGCATCCTCTGCATTCACAGTTCCTCTCTTTTTGTCTTTTCGCATCCTCTGCATTGCCAGTTCCGCTGCGGCAGGTGTTTGTGGCTTTTGGCGGCTTTCTGGCTTTGGCTTTTCACAGCCTCTGCTTTCCCAGTTGGCTTTGGCCTTGGCTCCTGCATCCTCAGCATCGCAAGTTCCTCGAGTACCCCCCGCCACCCCCCTTGCGATTAAAATGCACGCCTAATTGAATCATCACTTTTTCGATCATCATGCGACAGCTGCTTTTTAGATTCTTTGCCCCTAATTGAATCACAACTTTTTCGATCATCATGGGGAGGGCTGCCGCCCCCCCCCCCCCAACCCACCGCTGTTTTGTTATATATTTGTTTGGCCCGAATTGAATCATCACTTTTTCGAGCTACTTGTTAGACTTTTTTGACATAGGTGTATTTGTTTGGCCCTAATTGAATCATCACTTTTTCGATCATCATGCGACAGCTGCTTTTTAGATTCTTTGCCCCTAATTGAATCAAAACTTTTTCGATCATCATGGGGGGGGCTGCCCCCCCCCCCAACCCCCCCGCGCCTTTCATTGAATCATCACTTTTTCAAACATCATGGGGGTGCTGCTGCCCACACCCCCCAACCCCCCCCCCCCGCTGCTTTTTAGATTTTTTGCCCCTAATTGAATCATGAGGGCTGCCGCCGCAACCCCCCGCTACTTTTTGGATTTTTGGCAGAGACTAAAATGCACTCCTAGCTGAATCATCACTTTTTCAATCATCATGGGGGGGGGCTGCCGCCCCTCCCAACCCCGCGATGCCCTGCACATTGAGCAAGCACGCGCGCACCGTCACACACCCACGCAGACATGAACATCCCAAAGCAGACCATGTAAAGCTAGAGAAGTAGCGCGCATCGTTACCGAGCAAAAATACGAGTGGACTGTACTGGCATGTTTCCCTTTGTGGACTGTACATCATGCTTTCTTTGACGCAGCCTATGCACTCTGAGGCCTCCCTGAAGCAACCCGAAATCAACCGATTGCAGCGACGGGGCCCCAAACCAAATCAAACCCTAAACCATAAAGTAGCCAACAACCCCTCACCACCACCCTGTTACAGTGTGGCAGAGGGACAATGACAATTGGGTGCGGGGGCGGAGGCGTGGATGAGAGCAAAGTGTATATAGACGTGAAGGAACATTTACATGCACTCATTCATTCATTCCTTCAGTTTTTCATTTATACAGGCAGGCAGGAAGACAGACAGGCATGCATGCATACATACACACACATACACACATACGTACATACATACATACCTACCTACATACGTACGTTCCTACATACATACATACATATACATAGACATACATACATACATACATACATACATACATACATACATACATACATACATACATACATACATACATACATACATACATACACACATACATACATACATACATACATACATACACACACAAATTCATACATACACAAATGCATGTGTACGTACATACGTACCTACATACATACCTACATACCTACATACCTACGTACCTACATACATACATACATACATACGTATCGTGCGTACATGCATGCATGCATGCATGAACGCATGCATGCATGCATGCACACATACACACACACATACATACAGACAGACAGACAGGCAGGCAGGCAGGCGGACGGACGGACGGACGGACGGACGGACATCTAGAGTTTGTAGGCTTGAATTGAAAATTCAGTTGATGAGGGCCACGTAGTGACTGGCAAGCAACATGGAGAGGTCGAACCGAAATTTGCGTCTCTTGGGGAAATAAGCGCTTTTTCTTTCTCCAACAATTCGCTGTATTCTTTCTCTCTCGCTTTTTAAGGAACATGTTGGGAAGCTGTTCTTAAAGAAGTTCTAGGCATGTGTATGCATCCATACACATTCATTTGCATACATGCATGCACATATGAACACATGCATGTGGCCGCATGCATGCGCGCACACCCGCGCACACACACACACATGCAAGTACAGAGGCGCGTATATAGTCACATGCACGCACATACTAATGGGAGCCTTATTCGACCGCCAGTCAAGGCACTTCTTTTTTACCTTCGAGACCTTTCTCTTTTGGCGAGGGGGGGGGGTGTGGGGGGGAGGTAATTTCGTTCACCGAGCAAGCACCACAGCCTGCCCCCTCCTTCGAACGAGGCCTCCGGCAAAACGGCAGCGGGCAGGGGCTGTTTTAACACAAGCGAAACTCATGGAGCAGAACCGTGGGCCAATGCTGCAGGACTTTGGCCAAACACTTGCTGGATACGCACTGGCAGTTTCGCCCTATCATCCTTCTTGATTCGGCGGGCAAAAGCATCGGGCATTTTTGTCTTGCCGAAAGTATGTACAGCGCCTGCAGTACAACCGGATTTGGCCTTTTGCGTGGCCACTCTTCAAGCCAGGGGACTAGAGGGCATCTGCCAAACTTCAATGGCGGAAGAGCGTTGCCTGCAACCTTCTTGGCTTTCTTCATCCCCACAAAGATGCTCTGATAGCCTGTCACGCTGTCTGCACCGCTCATACAGCGCCACGCCACGCTGCTGAGGGCCCCTATGACTTCTTAGCTCCACATCCGCAGCAAGTTCTGCCCGTGCCTGCGAGCACTCTTGCGTGGCTCCTGCCGCACGGAAGCTGGATTCCGGCTTCTCTTGCACTTCTTCGTGCGTTTGAGACGCCGCATTTTTGTTTGTGAAGCCAAAGCTGCATTCCACCGTGGAGAGGCTGTCTGAAGTTGTGTCAAAAGTGGTTTAGTTTCCCGGTGTTGTTTTGGTCCCTGAGCGCGGGCACACACCACCCATGTTCTTGCAAAGTCCCAGACAACAGTGTCAAAAAGCGCCACGGTCAGTTAAAGGTCTCAGACCTACTAATATATGCGCGCTTACATGCGCACATGCGCGTGTACTGTATCAGCAGGCGTGCGCGCACACACACACACACACACACATATATATATATATATATACCCATACATATATACGTGCATATACGTAAATGTAGATAAATATTAATTTTATGTATTTATATACCCTCATACACACGTACATGCAGGCATGCAACAGTGCGTTGGCATTAAACTGCACAAAAGCACATCCTCAATATTTGCATGTAGGCAGGCTCGCAAATGTCCTCTTTGATCGAACACGCAGCGCTAGGACAGCACGCAGCACAGCGCGATATTTTGCCAAGGATCTTCTGCGTGCAAGCGGCAGACGTGGGCCACCACATCCCTTCAGATCCCCGGCCGCGCTTGTCCAAGCGCATGCTGGAGCTCACGCAGGCCGTGGGATTTCTGGCCTCAGGCTTCCAACCTCGGATTCAATCCAAGGCGCACCGAATCTCAGTGCTGGTTCCCAGCTGGCGGTGCTCGATTAGCCGCTGAGCTCAGCCAGCCTCTACTCGTTCGCCTCACAGCAGCCTTAGGAGGAGAAGAGGCAGCGGGTCAAATTCATGACCCGGCGCTTGCTCCTCGTTTTGGGGGGTTGGAGCGCGGCCACCGCATCAGGGCTCGCTCAAAGGCTGGCTTGGGGCCACAGGCTGGTTTGGGGAAGCATCACTTGAAGAATCCCACCTCTCTTTCCACCACCATGCACATGCCGAGCTCCAGTCGCAGGTAGAGCCTTGTGCTCCAAGCCTTGGCCGGGGCACGTGGTGAGGGGGGGGGTCACGGGCTTATAAATTCAAGAAGGGAGTGTTGGCCCCCATATCAATCCTCCTTTCAAATTCGAACATATCGTTTTAATTTGAGTCCACTTGACGTTCCACGTATATGGCCATGGCCTGGACTTCATGTATTGTTGGGCAAATTCAATTGCTGGACTTGCCACCCAGATTTGTTGCCTTCATGTGTGCGGGGCCATGTTTTTTCAAGACCATTATGCCGCAAGGAGACGACCTGGGAGTGGCCGCGTCGAAGGCAGATGAGTTCCACCGCTTTCTTTGGTTTTCGCATCAGTGATGCGGCAAGATGCAACTTCTTGCGACCCAGCGCCCAGGAATGCAAGCGGCTTTTGAGGATCCAGAGACCCTTGTTGTCATGACTAAGAATGCCCCAAGTTGGCCATTCTGCAGGTTTCGATATGTTTCGACAAAATGAGCACGAAAAAAACATCTTTGGTGCTGTCGACAGCAAGCTGTACTGGTACGCCTGTTTGCTTCGTGCTTCTTTGTGGGCGGCATTGGTCAAGGGTTGCTTCTGATTGCCTGTCGCAGCCATTACCAAGAGAGGCTAAAAGACACCCCGAGGCGCTAATGTATCGCTTTTGTGTTTGAGCCGGTCGAGTAGCAAACTCTTGCGATCCTGTAGCTTGCGCCGAAGGGTCGTTATTCGGCGACTGGGCGCAATGGATGGGCCAGCTGGGTTCCAAAAAATAGCAGCCGAGGCGCGGCGCAATGACAATTTAAGCCGCAATCGGCTGCGCCG